CTTTTTTCTTTTTGCTTATGTGGTGCTGAGGAATCGAACCCAGGGCTTCGAGCATGCAAGGCAAGCGCTCTACCACTGAGCCACCTTCCCAGCCCCTAAAAAATATTTTTATCTTTTGAAAGAAATGAGACCTAAATTTTAGAAGTGGAAGATATTTGGAAAAGTCATCAATTTAGAGGTGATGAAACTGAAATCCAGAGAGAGCTCAGTGACTTGAAGTAACAAAGATGTTTATGGAATAGCAAGTTCTAGTAATTAATTTTTCTTTATGGGAATTTTTTAATTCCCCATTTATTCTGTAGAAGTAAATCTACTAAACATTTTCAGATTTAAAAATTGGAAGAATTTATTTCATTAAAATTTATTTTTAGGTTGGGGATAGAGCTTAGTCATAGAGAATTTGTCTTTATATATGTAAAGCCCTGGGTTCCATTTCCAGCATAGCAAAAGATAACTTGCTTTTAAAGACTGTTAAGAGTATGGATTCAAGGAAATTGTATTATGCTGTCCCCTTCCCTCCCTCTCTCTCTTGTCCAGCAAGATAAATCAGATACTTTGACAAAGTTTTGGTATATTCATTTTTCAATGTCTTAGTCTAGAAAAAGTTTCTTTCACAGTAAAAATGAGAATTAAAAAATTAAAATGAAAATAGCAAAATAACATGTTTATATTTTCTGATATGATCTGTAATCTTATCATTTCTATAAATATTTCTGTTAGTATCTCAAAATAAAACCTTGGTTTTTAAAGCATTCGTACTACATTTATGTTAAATCTTTAAATCTGTATTATGTGTAAGAATTACTATTTTTACTGTAATTTTCTTTCTTTTTTTTTCTGGTCATGGCGCTTGAACTCAGGGTCTAGATGCTGTCTCTGAGCTCTTTCACTCAAGGCTAACACTCCACCACGTTGAATGACAGCAGTACTTCTGGGGGTTAATTGGAGATAAGAGTCTTACGGCTTTCCTGCCCAGACTGGCTTTGAACCCTGATTTTGAGATCTCAGACTCCTGAGATTAGGATTACAGGTGTGAGCCACCAGCGCCTGGTTTTTTTGCTGGTATCTTATGGTAGAAGAATGCCAAGCCTTAAAATGGGATAAGTAGAGTTTCGGCAATATAAGAAGAGTGCTTAAAGTAGAATGAGTACTCAAAAAAATAGGGCTTGGAGAGTAGGATGAAGAGGATCCATGGTATACCAGCCCAAAGGCAGTGCCCAGTGGGGTGATTTTAAGTAAGCCTACAAGAACCAGTGTTGACTGTGGTAACCTGGCTTAGAACTTCTTTATGAGCTAGGTAGAATAGTTCTTATTAGCTGAAGCAAATTTTTATATATAAGAATAAGCCAGCAATCTGCATTTTTTTTGGAGGGGGGGTCCGGTCGTGGGGCCTGAACTCTGGGCCTGGACGCTGTCCCTCAGCTCTTCAGCTCAAGGCTAGCGCTCTACCACCTGAGCCACAGCGCCACTTCTGGCTTTTTTTTTTTTTTTTGCTTATGTGGTACTGAGGAATCGAACCCAGGGCCTCAGGCATGCAAGGCAAGCGCTCTACCACTGAGCCACCTTCCCAATCTGCAATCTGCTTTTTTATGTGAGAATCTCAAACTTTAAAATGTTTGCAAAGAATTGCAAATACCTTTAAAACACTGTACAGACTGTGGAAGTCAGAGCAGAAAAATGGTTCCTTCCAGCCTAGGTCCTGAACAGCAGGTTAAATATCACTGACAACTTGTTAGAAATGTAAATTTGTACCAATTGAATCAGAAACTCATATGGTCTGGCAGTCAATATGTACTGTAGATATTCTGATAATAGCTAATTTTGAGAAGCAATGAAAAAGAGTGTTTTAGAACTGAGTTAGGTGCCTAACATGGTAGATTTTTAAAAAATTTTGTTAAAAGATGATGTGGATGGGTAACAGTGATTTGAGGAATATCAATTTAGATGTTAGTTTGAGGCAGATTATGGATTATATTTACAGAGTCGGTCTTTGAAGACGCTGAAGACTTTTATTGATTATGGGAATGATATGATTAGAGTGATTTAGGAAGAATAGGCATTGAAGTCAGAGTAAATCAGAATTTTAGGTTATGGCAATCTATAGAAATAGAAAAGAAACTAAACTCTTATGGATACTGTTAGCCTGTTACTTAATTTTATTAGTTGACTTTAAAAAAGCATTTTATACTTGTTATAGAGTTAAAAAACTTTTATTATAGAAGTATCTGTATCTGTATGATATATTCTTGTGATAGTTTTATCTTTTAATCTCTGCTATGATTGTTTTGTGTGTAATGAATCTTCTAATTTGAGGTAATATTTTTATAATACAATTCTAGTAAATATACCTTTACAGTAGAAAACTTTAATTTTTTGAAATTATTAAAAGAAAATTGCTATATGAAATGTAATATAATTTCAGCATGCTTAAAACTCGAAATCAGTTATGAATATTTGAGTGTTGACTGTATATCAAAATCAATTTACCAAAATGTGTTTTGTGCAGTATTCATTCTGTGAAAGGTTTTTTTTTTTTTTTATTTTTCTGTGAAAGGTTTTTAGAAAATAGTTCTATGTTCCCCATAGTCCAACATACTCTTTTTTAAATAGTTGGTTCTAAAATCAAGTGTGGAAAGTAAAAAAAAAAAGAGGGGGGGGTCCAACCATGCCTTAGAAAATTCTTTCATTGTTCATAAACTAATTAGCATTATCTGTTACAATCATATTTTCCTGTGGCAATGTTCAAGGTTGGTTAATATTTCTTTGGTAGTAGGAGGTGATACAATTTATTAGTAGTTGGTGTCTGTATAGAATAAAGAAACATTTTTATGTATTTTTGAATTACATTCATTGCAGTGAGTTTGCTGAATTTTTCTGAGTCATTGTTTAATTTTAATTTGCAAAAGTTTAAATTCTCCATTCTCTAATCACCTCTTCCAGGAAAGATTACCATAGTAAAGGAGATTATTTGTATTCTTGGGTACATGGTTCCAAGAAGTCCATTGTTGAGGAAAAACTGAATGCTTAGGATACATGCTCAGTGCTGTATTGCAGTTGCTTGATTCATTTTTTCCCTAACATTACTCAGCTCTCTTAAAGCCTTTCATCTTTCAACAAATCTTATTCATTTTATCAGTTAATTTCTTTGTCTTGCTTGTTGGGCATGTTTTCACAGAATTGAGAGCAGGAAAACACTTAGCAGATCACACAAATATTTAAACACAACTGGCAATAAAAAGGACTGAACAAGAGCTTATTCACATCGACTGAACTGTTATGTGCATGTGTGGGAGTTGTTTCTTGACTATGCTTGGTTAAGACTACATATAATAAATTCATGAATCAGGTAGCCTTACTGGTATACTTTGTGAGAATTCCTGAGTAAAACAAATTATTTGTCTGGCCTGGTGGATCATGATCCTCCTACTTAAACCTCCAGTGTGTCTAGGATCACTGACTTAAAGCCGTTGTATCTGACTGATTTGTTGAGATTGGATCAGTGTTATTTCATTTTTGTATCATTCTTTGTTTCCCTTCTTGTGTGAAAATGTTTAAAATGAGTTACTTTCCATGTGCCTTTTTATTTGAAGAGTAATGTCAGATTTTAAATAAATTTGTTTAAATGTCTGGGTGCAATAAATTGTATTTATATGGATGATGATGATTAGATGAATACTTTGTTAATACATGTTCTTTTAAGTGTAAGAATATGTTATACTAATTTGTATACTCTTACTATAAAAATTCAGTATCATAGAGGTTAAAATTTTTTGGTGAGGCATAATTGAAATAAATTTATTTAAATGATTGTATTATAATTGATACCAAGTGTACTCAATACTTTTTTCAAATGTTAGAATCACAAATTCAAAATTAATATTTGATGGTAAGTTTGGTTGTAAGTACTTCAACGAAAGTTAAATGATAAATGAAATACAAAATACAAGAGTGGATTCCCTTTTCTTTTCTTTTCTTTTTTTTTGAGACAGGATCTTTCTGTGGTAGCCCAGGCTGCCCTTGATTCTCCTGCTTCAGCTTCCTGATTGCTGGGTCTATGGGTATCTCGGCACAAGCCTATAAATTCTAGCACTTGAGAGCATGATACAGGAGGATTATGAATTTGAGTTGATCCTGGAACATGGTCAGAACTTGTTTCCAAAAGGGAAAAAAAAAGCCCTAGCTAAGTTTTATTTCTTAGAATTTCACAAAATTATAATCATATTGTTATTTCTACCTTAAAACATTCAAGTGGGTTAATATTCTAAATTTTCCTTTTTTAAATTAGCCTACCTTACTTTTAATGTGTGTATTTCATTGTTCTTCTTTTTAATAAAAACCTAACATTTTTAATACTTATTTTCAACTATCCTTTTATCAGTAGTTCACTTTTTATTGCTCTGTAGTATCCTGTTGTACAAATATATCAGCTTGTTTGTCTATTTTCCCTTGTTAGATTTATGGATGATTTTTGGATGTTAGATAAAAATATTCCATTAATATTCTGTATAACTTTCTTGTGGACATAATGCTAGAAAAGGGAAAATATACATTTAATCTTTAAGAAACTGGCACCTTTTCCAAAGTGATTGTACAATTTTAACTTCCATGAACAGTGTTGAGTTTTTAAAAAAATAAAATTTGCATGTTCAATAATTGGAATATTGTAATTGAAATTGCGAACCAACTTTTAATATAAATTCAAAGTGTTGAGTAGATAATTTAGATACTTGGGGAATATTGTAGCTTATTGATTATTTTTCCATGTTAGCATTTGCATATATATTCTGACATGATGTATTGGTAAAATATGAAATGTATAGTCCCTGCCATGTTATGAAGTATTACTCTGAAAATAATCTCTAATGAAAAGAAATCTTGTAGGCTTATTTTATACATTATGGTATTTATACGTATTTGACATTCAGTGTCTTTAAGAAAACTGGATGATTGTCAGATTGAAGGGATTTGCATGTTAATGCTTGTATATTTTTTAGTGTAATAAAAATTTCCAGTCTTAAATTTATATTGTTATATGTTAATGAAATTTAAAGTTCTGTTAGGTTTTGGTAATTTTAAAATTCAGAAATAGTCTAAAAAGTCATTTACATTTTATTTGAATTTCATTATATGAAACATTTTAAATTGCATTTCTACTGTTGAAAACAAGTTGTCTATTTAGAATGATCAAAAAATGTAAAAAATACATAAAGATTTGGGTTCACTGGATATGTAGTTGTCATCCTAATCACAGGAATCATTCATTAAGATACCAGCTTATTAATATTAAATTATATGATCTTCCTCAAAACAAGTTTAACATGTTCTTCTAAGAATTGCTGATGATCTTTTTTTGGTCGTTGTGGGGCTTGAACTCTGGGAGCCTGGGCTCTGTCCCTGAGCTCTTCAGTTCAAGGCTAGCACTCTACCACTTGAGCCACAGCACCACTTCTGGTTTTCTGGTGATTAATTGGAGATAAGAGTCTCATGGACTTTCCTGCCTGGGCTGGCTTTGAACGGTGATCCTCAGATGTTGCGTGAGCCACCGGCACCTGGGTCAAGGCTTTTTTTTTTTGGGTCCGGTCGTGGGGCCTGAACTCTGGGCCTGGGCGCTGTCCCTCAGCTCTTCAGCTGAAGGCTAGCACTCTACCACTTGAGCCACAGCGCCACTTC